TTCCTCTCTTGAAACTGAACGTAGACGGTTGCAGCGGCATTTAAACATGGAACAGCTGAAATAATTGACTTTTCTGTAGCTGTCATCGGTGGTTTGTCTCTAAAAACAGAATGCAGCATGTGCGCAAGTTCAACCAGAGTTTCCAAAACGTCTCTAAACCAAGGGTCTCGTGTCGCAGGAAATTGAAACGCGTTTAGAAATATCTCATAAAATAGTCACCAAGTGGATTCTGAACCTTCTCAAAGCTGCCTCAGTTTAGTTTCCATGACTCCTGCATTTCAACAGCTGCAGGCTTCAGCTCGGCTGCATTCGCCCAAAACGTTTTTCTTTAACAGAAAACCAACTCTGAGGCGGAACGGACCGGGACGACTCGACAAGACGATAAAAATAACTTCATTGTTGGTTTTAAAACGGAAAGTCTTTGTGAGCGCGCACAAAGATGCTGCATCATTTCGCCAATGTTGTTTATTTAAAATGTAAAAAACGCGATGGATTAGTGGTTAACCCACTGAGCAAGGAGACGTCGAAACGTCGTTTTTGCACGTCTGATTTCGGGGCCTTGCAGGTGCAGACTGTGACCAATGGACGTCAATACAGACGTATCTTCTACATCAAAATTTAACTTGTTTTATTTACTTCAGATAATATTGTATGTTCCCATGCAATGGTGAACACATTCACCCCAGACGGATGTTGGAATGACTGGGGTTCGATCCCAGGACCTTCAGGTTTGGAGTCGGCTGCTCTGCCCCAACTCTGTGACCAGCAGAGTCAGAGAACCAGTATCTTTCACCGTCTATTGTGCAACAGGAAACTGGTCCTGCACGCACTACAGATACTAGGTTTACAATTAAACCATCACTCCTTAAAGTTTTCCTTTATCCGGGAGGACTTTGAAAAATAAATCTGTGATCTCAGTGGAATTTGCTCAAATAAATAAAGATAAAAAAAATAAATAAAAGTTCTCAAGTCTCCAGTTTTATTGTTGTTTTTTTTAGAAAATCCATTTTTCTCACAGGAGGTGCACGCGCAGCAGAAAATCTCTGATTTTGAAAAAATAAACAAATCGAATTCAGATGCGGCGTAGACGGAGTTCAGTCATGAAGTGCCTTCGTTGTTTCCAGGAGAAGTCGGAGCACCGGGTGAACTTTGTGGACCAACAGAAGCACCGGAGAGGAAGCACAGAAGTGTTTTTATTTTTACTCTAAATGTCAAAAGTCGCTCGAAACATTTAATTTAGCCTCAGCCGAGAAGGAAGTACAGCAGCTAAAGGGCCAATAACTTTTGCTCTTATTAGCCGTGCATGTTTGTCTGCACGCCATGTGTGCATCGTGTGTGTGTGTGTGTGTGTGTGTGTGCGTGCATCGTGTGTGTGTGTGTGACAGCAGAGCGTGATAAAGGAGAAGCTCTGCGGTGAGACAGAGGAAGACATGAACTGGTTGTATTTCAGCTCAACAGCCCACACACTGATGATCTTTCATTGATTCCTTATTGACAGGAACCGATTAAATCAATATCTTTAATTTTTCGTTGAGGCCGGGCTGGTCACAGATTTCAGCGCCGGCTGAGAATAGACCACTGAGCGTCCCAACACACTAAACTTCTTTGACGTCTCAGTTTCACCATTAGGGGTTTCCACCTGCGGTCTTTGTTCCCAGGACCCTGAGGGGCCCCGGGGGCCCCGGAGACCGGCCTCCTTTGTTTCCGTCCTCGGAGCCACCTGTTCAGAACGTGTCACCACGACAGCGTCTTCCAAAACAACCGCGCAGCGACAGAACGTGAACGCTGAGTTTAAAATGTCGTTTTCTGCTCTTTTCATTTTCCGTTTGTTTCATAAAATCTACGTCGGCTCACGTTGTTATTTTAGCTGTTCGTGAGTAAAAACGTTCGGCTCATTAAGGAGATGGAGGCTGACGACGCTTGTTTTTTAGACTTTTAAAGTCATTTAACAATATTTACAAATGGAAATAAACTCAGATCTCTTGGATTAGTTCAGGAGCAATCTGCTTCAGCTGCTGTTTTTGTCTTGTGCTATTTTTAATACGAGCTGCAGTTCAGCTACTTTCAGCTTTTTCCAAGCATTTTACTACTTTTAGCGACTGTTCTGCTCATTTTACCTTTCACCTTTTGCCATTTTTAGCGTTACTATTCTGATAATTTGCAGCTAGTTTTTTAGCATATCATTCTGCTCCTTTTGGCACTTTACCTTTTATAGTTTTTAGCTACTTTTTTTGCTACTTTTAGCTTTTGACAAGCACTATGCTACTTTTAGCATTTAACTATATTTAGCTAATTGTAGCTAACTTTTTGCCATTTTCAGTTATAGCAACATTTCTGCTACTTTTGCCTCTTTTAGCTTGTGTGCAAATTTCCAGTGATAAACATCATGCTAATCGTATTAGCTTCTTTCTTTACAGTTTGTTCTGTTAGCATCTTTGCTAACTGGGATGCCTGTAACTGTTTTTTATGTATAAGTTAATGTTTATTATGTAAAATAAGTCAGGCATTTAAGTTTCCAGATCTACAAAATGCATCAACACCGTTTTGTAACCGGCCTGCTGAAAAGTGAGGTGGCTAAAGACTTCCATCCCCATCATCTACAACAGGTTAGATATTAATTATCATAACATTACCACAGGAATCCACTTGAAAATGGCTGAACTATCCCTTTTAAAGGCGCATAGCATTTGGTTGTTTGTTTCTGAACCTTGTATCTTGATGAGTCAAGGCTCTGCATGAGGCAGTCCTTGGGCCGTGGGGGTACAAAGTGTTCCCAGCAGCACGGAGGTCACAGGTGGTGATGTCATTTATCGTTCTCGCTGCTGAGTAAATGTGAAAAATGTCCAGACCTTTAAAAAAAGACGCTTGTTAGAAATATCACAACGAGCTACACGCACCCCCCCCCCCCCACACACACTGGTTATTACAGAGGCAGCTCAAACAACTGCTGGATTCCCTCCCCACCCGGGTTCGTGCTCGTCACTGGGATTGACCACAGAATCTGTGCCTGGTCCAGATCTGTTCATTTAGCTCCAGATCGATGCACCGGAGGAGGAACCGATCCTGCTCCGCACGCTTTATTGACTGGACCACACCATCGTCCAAAACAAGGAACTAAGAGCTTATCTGGGAGGAAGGAGGTGAAGTTCTGATTGTAGCCGGGTCTCACCCGGGTCAGGTTCTGCAGAGTGGACGTCCATTACTGGCACAACGGCTGTTTTCAACGTGCGCTGAAAAGAAGGAAACCTCCCGACAAACAGGCCGTTGAAGAAACGAGATAAGGACGATAAAATCAGTCTTTGTCTCCTTAAACCTGCGGGAACGTTTCGGAAACGCCGCCGCTGCTTTTCAAAATACTAATACATTAAAGTTTGTCTGAAGTTGTTCTTAATCTGAAGAGATTAAATCTGACAGGAAGGACGAGCAAACGGCTAGTCTGGACGAGGCGAGGACCAGCGTTGCCGTCCTAAAACGACTTCCGCCTGAAAGGTTTTTGTAGCGATTCATGCAAATGTCAATTTCACGATTATTCCTGGGGAAAAATCAGCCGAACGTGTCCCCACTGGAAGTGCTACAGCTAGCTGCTGCTGCCGCCACCGTTGGTGCTTGAACACGACTGCAGGGTTCTGTGTACATAACTGTAATGTGTTAAGACTAGCCATGAGCTCATCAGTTCTGTTAGAATTGCTATTTCTTCAAGCTGATAATGCTCAGAGCGCTATCTACAACAGGTAAGATATTTACCTACATGCTCACTCAGCATTCAAAGTTTTCCTTTGTTCTAGATGTTTATTTTAATCCAACGTCTTCCAAAGACTTTGCCCAATTTTAGCCGTTCGTAGATCAAAATGTTCGGCTCGTTTAGCAGACGGGTGCTGTGACTTTTATTTTTGTAACTTTTATACATTTCAAAATATTAAATTTACAAAAGTTTTCCATTTAGAGATTTTTTTAAATTTTCTTTGTTCTATTTTAAATCTACTTCAGCCACAGACTCCGTTTCTGTCTTCCTATGCTACTTTTAGCTTCTAGCTATGTTTTGCTGCTTTTAGCTTTTACGTAGGTTTTTTTTTGCTTCTTTGAGTGTTTTGTGACTTTTAGCTTCTAGCTAGCCCAATGCTATTTTTAATTTTAACTAATCTTTTGCTGCTGTTACCTTGTTAGCTTTCTTTTGACTTTTGGCTAACATTTGCTGCATTTAGCTAGTGTTTTTTTTTTTTTTTTTTTACTTTCAGGCTCTAGCTTGCCCTACGCTACTTTTAGCTTTTAAACAATATTTTGCTGACCTCAGTGTTTTACTACTTATGGAATTCAGCTAGTTTTTTGTTTCTTTTAG